AGACCCCTAGCCTGTCTGGGTCTCTTTGAATGGCAGCACAGCCTTCTGGTGTGTCAACCACTCCTCCCAGTTTTGTGTCATCAGCAAACTTGGTGATAGTGCACTGTTCCCTCATCCAGGTCATTGATGATATATTGGATAGTGCTGGTCCCAGTACCAACCTCTGGGGGACTCCACTAGACACAGGCCCCCAACTAGACTCTGCCTCATTGACTACAACTCTCTGACTTCTTCCCTTCAACCAATTAGAGACCCACCTCACTACTTGGTCATCCAGACTTCCTCTCTTTAGCTGTGAGGATCCTGTGGGAGACGATTTCAAATGCTTTACTAAAATCCAGATAAATCATGATAGACCACATCCACTGCACGGCCGCCATCCATCCACCTGGTTATGTCTTCATAAAAGGCTATCAGGTTGGTCAGACATGACTTCCCCTTGGCAAAGCCATGCTGACTGCTCCTAATGACCCTCTTATCCTTTATATGCCCAGAGACAACACCAAGGATAAGTTGTTCCATCACTTTTCCAAGGGTGGATGTGGGGCTGACTAGTCTGTAGTTTCCCGGGTGCTCCTTCTTGCCCTTTCTGAAGACTGGAGTGACATTTGCTTTCCTTCAGTCCTCAGGCACCTCTCCTGTTCCCCACGACTTACCCAATATGATGGAGAGTGGCCTAGCAATGACTTGTGCCAGCTCCCTCAGCACCCTTAGGTGCATCCCACCAGGGCCCATGGATTTAGGGATGTCCCTATTGCCTAACTGACCCCTAACCCCATCCTCCTCAACAAAGGCAAACTCCTTTATCCCGACTTTCTCTGGGGCTCAGGGGACTAGGGCTCCTGAGGACAGTCTCCAACAGTATAGAAAGAGGCAAAGAAGGCATTCAGTAACTCTGCCTTCTTTCTATCCTCTGTCTCCAGGGCACCCACCTCATTCACGAGAGGGCCTACATTGCCTCCAGTGTTAGTTTTATCTACAAGGTATTTAAGAAGCCCTTTCTGTTGTCCTTGACCTCCCTTGCAAGGTTAAATTCCAAGGAGGCCTTAGCTTTCCTAGTTGCCTCACTACATCCTCTCACCACAGTCTTACATTCGTCCCAAGTGGCCAGCCCCTCCTTCCATGATTTATATACTCTCTTCTTCCACTTGAGTTTGCCCAGCAGCTTCCTGGTTAACCATGCAGGTCTCATGGCTCTCTTTCTTGACTTCCTGTTGTAGTGAGTCCACAGGAGGGCCACAAAGATGATCAGGAGGTGGGAGAACGTTCTTTATGAGGACAGAATGAGAGAGTAGCATCTCTTCAGCCTGGTGAAGAGAAGGCTCTGGGGAGACCTTATAGCAGCCTTCCAGTGCTTAAAGGGGGTCTGCAGGAAAAGACGAAGAGAGATTCTTTGTCATGGAGTTTTGTGATAAGACAAGGGGTAACAGTTTCAAACTGAAGGAGGGCAGATTTAGGTTAGATATTAGGAAGAAATTCTTTTTTTTGAGGGTGGCGAGACACTGGAAAAGATTGCCCAGAGAAGTTGTGGAAGCCACCTCCCTAGAGATATTCAAGACCAGGTTGGACAGGGGTTTGAGCAACCTTGTCTAGTGGAAGGTGTCCCTGTCCATGGCAGGGTGATTGAAAGTAGACGGTCTTTAAAGTCCCTTCCAACTCAAACCATTCTGTGATTGTATGATTCTGTGATTCTATGAGTCTATGTTGCGACTTTCACAAAACTTTTTTTTTTCTCTGAAACACTTGATCAAACAGTATAAGCCTGTACCATTTTTGCAAGATTTTATGTCATGATTCCATCTGTGCTATCAATAATTACATTTCTGCCTGACACAGAATTATATATCAGGCATTAAACTATGCCAAATATTATAGGAAAGTATCAAATTCATAAATTCAGGATTTGCAAAGACAATGTAAAAGATTCACACAGTTTACCTACCTAAATGAGTAAAACTGCTAGAAGAAAAAATGCTAGCTTCTTTCTTTCCTCTGTGTTATATTGTGTTGTGTGACATACCGCTGTTTCTAAGCCAAACTGATAGTTTCCACATGTACTTTAACACAAACCTGGATATTTTGTATTGCAGAGACTTCTCCAGGCAGAGCCAGACCTGGACAGTTTCATATCCCTCACAGCTTAGCCCTGATCCCCGACTTTAGTCAGCTGTGTGTTGCAGACAGGGAAAATGGTCGAATTCAGTGCTTCAGACTGGAGACTGGGGAGTTCATAAAAGAGATCAAGCACAAATCATTTGGAAGAGAGTTGTTTGCAGTTTCATATGTTCCAGGTAATCTTTTTTGCTGTTCTTCAGATTTCAAGTTGTTGCTTTATGCTGGTATGTCACAGTACACAGTGTTATTTCATGAAGAGTGCTATAATGTTGTCTTAGGCAGATATTTATTCTCTTTCAAAACAGACCTAATGTAGTGGAAAAATTTAAAAATGTTCTGTGTAAGCCTGGCTGGATTTTGTGGTCCATTCCTCGCCTACTCTCCATACATCCACAAGCATATTATTTAAGGATGTCAGGAAGCAGCTCCTGACCTCTTCTTTGTAGTATATCTTTCTATAGACTTCTTGCCCATGAGTTTTCCTAGTTCCAGTTCCAACTGGCTTGTTTTGTCTGCCTTTTTGACCTCATGTAGTTACAGGCTACAGAAGCTAACTACCCACTTTATATTTTAATTTTTACAAGTGACCCAGTTTTATTGAGTGCTTCTCAGTCCCAGTATTTTGGGAGCTAGTGAATAACATTTCCACACTCCCCATATATGCTGCCTCATTGCCTTCTCTCCAAAGTGGCTCTCTCCCCAGCCACTTTAATCTCTCTCCATAAACCATTTACTTCCTTCAGCCCCTTGACTATTGTCATTGCCTTTCTCTTCTAGAATCTTTAATTTCATTAGAACCTTTTCGAGATGCTATACTGGATTTACCCTGGCTGTAAGCCATGTACCCACCACAGCCACTCTATCACTTCTCCTTGGCTAGACAGGGGGGAAAGTATAACAAAGGGCTCATGGTTTGAGGTAAGGGCAGGGACATCACCTGCATCTACCATCCTGGCCAAAACAGACTCGACTTGGGGAAATTAGTTAAATGTATTAACAAAAAAATCAGAGAAGAATAATGAGAAATATAAACAGATCTTAAAAATAACGCCTTCCCCTCAGCCCTCCCTTCTTCCTGCGCTTAACATCACTCCCAACTCATCCATCTCCTCTCCCACCAAGAGGCACAGAGGTAGAGGGAATGGGGGTTGCGGTCAGTTCATCAGATGTCATTTCCACCACTGCTTCTTCCTAGGGGGAGGGCTCCTCACTCTTCCTCTGGGCCACTCTGGGGTCCGTCTTGTGGGAGTCATTCGTCACACACTTTGTCCAACGTGAGTCCTCTCACGAGAGACAGTTTGTCACAAACTATGCACAAAGGGTGCAGTCCTTCAGGGGAAACTGCTCCAGTGTGGATCCCTGGCAGCATCGCAGAAATCCTGTCAGCCAGCCTGCTCTCTCTCTCTCTCCATGGGCTACAAGTTCTGGCAGCAACCTGTTCCAGTGCAGGCTTCCCACAGGGTCACAGCCCCCTTCAGGCAGCCACCTGCTCTGGTGTGAGGTCCTCCATGAGCCACAGGTGGACATCTACATTCTGTCACCTCCATGGGCTGCAGAGGGACAACCTGCTTCACCATGGTCTTCGGCACAACCCAGGGGAATCTCTCCTTCAGCACCTGGAGCACTTCCTCACTCCCCTTCTTTGCTGACATTGGTGTCTTTTGCTCTTCGCTTCTTGTTCATTAATGGGTCTTTAATTTAGCCCTGTGACAATTCATGTTCTTTAATAACTTCTGATGCACAACCTTGTCAAAAGTTTTCTGAAAATCCAAGTATGTCTACAGAATCCTCTTTACCTGAGTGCTTCTTCTGCCCTGTCAGAGGTAAACCACAATTTCCACTTAGAGAAGCCATGCCAATTGGTTTCTCATAGGCCACACTTTCTTATGTCTTATTCTTCATTATGGATTCTACCATCTTAGTGGGAGTGGAAACCAGAATTGTTGACATGTAGTTTCCTGGCACCCTTCTGAGCCCTTCCTGTAGATGGGCATTACTTTGGCTGTCTGCTAGCCTTCTGGAGGAGTGGCTGTTTGCAGTGCTGGGTTACTCAGCTTAGCCTGAGCTCATTAATTTCTCATTTGTCTTGTATTAACATCCAACTTGTCTAGCACCTTTTGTGTACCTCCTTACAGTGGAACTGGCTCCTGTGACCTCTTTGCTACCAAAAAATCTTGTCAGAATCTCCTCAACTTACTCAACAGAAAAAAATTACAAAATCTGAGCTTCTCTGCCACGGGCCCCTCATTCCCGTGTCCCCCTTTCACACCTTTTCCTCTTGTCATCCTACTGATTCCTTAGCTGACTTTCTGCTTTTGATACCTTTAAGGAACTTCCCATTCAGACCAAGCATCCTTAGCAAAGTATTCTTCAGACTAATTTTTTTAATGCTTTCACATTCCTTTAACTAAGCTGTATAATATTGCCTTACTTGTTCTTCTCACTTCGGCAAAATGTGCATCTCCTAAATGCCCAACTTTCATCTGTTATACCTGACTTAACTTTCCTCTGGTGATCTTGATTCCTGTTGGGTTACCTTTCTGTCTGTCTCTCTCTCAGACAGCCTTTTTTCATCTGTACTATTACAGTTCAGCTGCACTAGTTTGCTATGTGTGTAGACTGTTAAAGCAAATCTAATATTGTTGCAGGTGGTCTCCTCTTCGCAGTTAATGGAATGCCTTATCCTGGAGAGGCAGAACCAGTGCAAGGATTTGTGATGAACTTCTCTACTGGAGAAATAATTGATACTTTTGTTCCCCTTAGAAAGGTAGAGTATGGCACAAAGTGCCTGGTGCATATAACTACATGTATGAGAATGTTGGTAACATCCTTTTTCTCTAATTTTCATAAGACTATTACAGGAAATAAACATGTTTTTAATGTAAGGTGTACAAAGTGAATTATTTATAATAGTAGCCTAATAAAGATACTGAAATTTTGGGTCTTAGTTTCTACATGTGGCACACATTCAAAAATTATACTACCCTTAAGATAATTCCTACAGATAAATGCCTTCAGTCAGGAAGGGCCTAATTTCGTGCTGTTAGACAGTTTTTGAAAGCTAATTTAAGAGAAAAAAAATAATTACTTGAAATATTCATATATTTAGATGCTAGTAATTTGTCAAAAAATAGAGTATATTCCTAAAGAGAAATAATACTCAGCTGTATGGTTACATCCCTTCTTTTTTAAAAAAAAAAATCAGTGTGGAAGTTAAGACTAAATGTCATTCATACAGTATTGTACATAAAAGTTATGTTTATTTTTTTAAAAAGTTTCCAGGGATGGTCTTAGACTAAAGAATTTCCCATTTCTGGATAACTCATATACTCCTGTTATTTGCAGTCCAGTTGTAAATTATACTAGAAAGAGTTATTTTTTTTCTGGGAATAGCAAATAGCTCTGTTGTGTACAAACTGCCAAAACATAATTTTGTGGGCTTGAAACCAAGATTCATGAATTTTTAAATATATTTCACAGGATAAAATTGAGTGCAAGAATATGAATATAAATAGTATAAATATAAAAATAGTTTAGCATAAATACATCAGATCATCTCCATGTTGTTATTCCTGGAGAAGGCAGACATACAACAGAATTCCTCATCCTTCACTCATGTTAGGTCTTCGTATCAGCACCTGCTATATTTTCCAGTCAAAGGACTGAATATGACAAGTCCAGGGTTAAGAAAGCCTTATGCATGTGTAGACACTTAAGAGTGATCTGTGACTACTTATCTTCACAGAGCTTTGAGATGCCACATGATGTTGTTGCTTCGGAAGATAAAACAGTATTCGTTGGAGATGTTCATGCCAGAGCAGTGTGGAAGTTTGCATCCACAGAAAGTACGTTATTTTTGTTCTCAGTGTCACAACTTCACATTTTTTGTCTTCAGTACTACTTATCTGGTACCACTGGCCAAGAACTTTGTGGCTTAATGGCAATGACTTAGGTATACTACAAGCCCTGCCTGCAGAAGTTCTGTCTTACTGCTCAGTTTTCATTAAAAGACAATTCTTCAGCACTGCTGCATGCTCTGTCAAAGAAGAGTCCTTAGTGCGAGTTCCTTTGTCGTAGAAGGAATCAAAATGCATTTGCCTCATGGTAGATCTATCCCTTGTCGTGTCAGTACCTGCTTTAACAAAAGCATGACGTGTAGCATTTTAGTAATTTTAATGTATCATTTGCTGAGAAGTCATCTGCTTCCTTTGAGGTTATTATACAGAGAACTCCCAGGGGCTGAAGTGAGAACAAAAGTCAACTTAAAACTTATATTAATTTAATTGGGAGTATTTACTGTTAGAAAATTAATCTAGTATAATTTACAGTCCTGTTTCCATGAAGTGGAAGTATCCCCCAACGCAAGTAGCCTGACTTCAGGGGGAGGGACTTGGTTAGTCAGACATCCGTCTAGTAAGAATGAGAGGGAGATCAGATATTTTACAGGAATAAAAATATAATCTGGTGTTACATTATATTGGATAAAAAAAATGTATGAGAGAGATAAAGCCTCAGGCTTCAGGGTGTTAGTCAACCAGTAAGAGTCTGCTGTTATAAATTAACTTCTGACTAAGCTAGTTATTCCATATTTGTTTATAATTCATGGATTTTCTTCTGCGGCATCTGGCATCAGCTACTCTTAAGAACAGGAAACTGGACCAGATAAATTGTAATTCTGATTGGATATGGATTCTTCTGCCTATAGTAACCTGAACATGAACACTTCTAGGCTTTTATACAAAAAAAAGTGAGAGCAAAAAATAATGGAATTATTCATCTCTTATAGGTTAGATGAGGAAAGTCCTTGTATATCATCCTCGTTTGTAGGTTTTGCTGGAGTATAAAACCACAATAGCTAAAGAGCCTTGATTCAGCCAGCCTTTAATCCGTCATGACTTTGATTATAATGAACAGTTTATTTTTGTGGATCTCCCTGAACCTTTACACATGCCCATTAAATCTCTCTGTGGCATAAGAGTTAATTATTGCGCACATGTTTCATGCATCAGACTTTCTTATTTCCATGGCCTTGTGAGCTATTGGATGGTTTATATTGACTGTCCTTGGTGAAGTTCAGATGCGAATATTTTTGTTTACTCTAGGATTGTACTGTACATTTGAGAACGCTAGCAGGAAAATGTCACTGAGTGTCTTTATGAAATGTCAGTTGTTCTGAAGAATAATTTTGTTTTACAGAAATGGAACATCGGTCAGTTAAAAAGGCTGGTATTGAGGTACAGGAAATAAAAGGTTAGTCTGATTCACTGTGAAAATGAAGGAACCAGTGTTTTCACATAAACTAGGACTGCTTCTGCCAAGTTGAAAGGAAAAATATGAAGTAGTTTGTTTTTATTTTTCAGTGTTCCATACAGATAACATGAGCTGGCATAGGAAGCACTAGAAAGCAGCCTGTAACAGTGTTACCTAGTAGAAGCTATTTTACAGCGAATTTAAACATTTCATTATAAGTAACGAAAGCGCTTCACAGACACTAAGATAAAAATTTAACTAGTGGATTATTTCCATACCACCATCTGGTATGGTACAGATTGGTATCTGTGTCAGCTCCCTTAAATACAGAAATAGCTCTGAAATATAACTGTGATAGTTACTCTCTAGCATATTTCCCCCTATTCTACAACCCTCAAACACACACACAAAAAAACAAAAAAAGAGTTATTTTAAATGGCAATTGGTTTATCTCTCTGCATAATATTTCAGGACATAGCCTTGCCAGTCACACCATAGGGCAAAAAGCATTTTTTTTTTTTAATTTAGATTCATTTCCCTAAATTCGCTGCTTGCCTTTTTTTTTTCAATTTCTCTGCATAAAAATGAAAAAAAAAAAATTAAAAACATGTAGAAACTTAATATAAGGACATAAAGAAATGCATGTAGAGGAGATTGAAATGGGTAAAACATCAATTTGGGAAGATGAAAAGTAGTTTTAACCATTTGCATTATTACATAGGTCTTTTAATTTGAAGAACAGTACCAGGCTACCAGAGAGGCCTTTATAAAATGTTCAGACACTCTTAACTGTTTTTCTTTGGTTGAATTCAGAGCTAATATGGTTTGCTTTAGCCATGTATATGCACACACAAGAAAATACCAAAAGATCCCAACTGCTAGGCATATAGAAGTAGAATAAAGGAGGGTGACGTTGTAAAGCAATGAAATCCCTATTGCTAAAACTGTTATCCTTCTATTTTCTCTGTATTGGTACATCAGTCCTCCTAAAGCGCTCAAAAGGCAAGTATTGACATTACAGCATCCACAGTACAACAAATCTAATGATATATTAATGCATCTTGGCTTACTTTAGGAAGAGAGCAGACTTCCAGTGTTGCAGAGAAAAATGCAATAGTATCACCAGCGTAAGAAGCAGTTCTGAAGTAACGATCTGTAAAGAGTACCTAGATTGAAACTAACACGCACTAAACTCCACTTGAAGAAAATAGATAGCCAATGGACTTTGTGTCACTGTCTGCTTAAGAAACAGACAGGAGTAGCCTGCACTTTCACAGCCTCCTCGTGACAGACTGTTACTACTGCTGTGAAGTGAGGGAAAATACATGGAGAACATGGTGGAAGGAAATTGCTTTTGGCTATAGCTACTACTTGAACAGACAGCATGTTATCATTGTTATCATTTTATTAGTGATGACAGTGATATTGTTGTTATTGTTGTATTAGCTTTAAGTGTCAAATGAAGCATTTGCTATTCTTTCAGAACAGAACATCGTTTTAAGTTTGATACAGATTCAAAACAGAGCTGATTCAGAGTGTGTTTCTTATACAGCAACTTCCTAAGACACGCAGTCAGACTTCAAAATGTAGAGCTAGATGGTTTTACTCGTTAAAATCACAAAGCATGTGATCCTTCATACACACAGAAAACAGCATGCAGGATTTTATTCAAATATGTGGGTTTTTTCTTGTAGGTCAAGAGGTAAAAAATTTAGCCAGGAATGATTGACTGTGTTTTTCAAAAGCTCTCTAGATTTACAGAACCAAAGCTCTTTCATGGAATGCAGCAGTTCTGAAAATCTAACTCTTTGTCACAAATTTATTAAAAGTAACTTTAAATGCTTTCTTTTTTACTGATGATAGTACGGCATATACTGGATTTCAGTATTTCTTGTAGAAGTGTTATTATCAAAAGGAGATGTTTTACTGATATTAAATCACACACCTGTTTTCATATATTTTAGTTTTTCCTGTATTTTAAGTGCTAGGTATTTTTAAAGACAAAACTATCACTGACACTTTTCCCCATTTGAGAAAAGAGGAGGGCACCATTGATAGTGGTATTATTCAGGCTCTCTCTGCCTTACGTTTGGAATAACATGAGCAAGAGCTAAAAATGTCTCCTTAGGTGCTTGTCTTTTATTTCCTTGTTACTCAGCACTTTGGGTATTCTAATTTGTTCTTTCCTTTAATGCCTTGTTCTATGTTGCTTGATGCATCTGGATTACATACTGAAATTGTCTTCTTTTTAAAGAATCAGAAACAGTTGTAGAAGCCAGATTGAAAAACAACCCAGAATCAACAGACCCTCTAAAGAAGCAGGAAAAACAACATTTGGTCCAGCAGACCAGCACTGGAGTTTCCTTTGTTCTTATTACAACACTTCTAATTATCCCTGTTGTTGTCCTGCTGGCAATTGTAGTATTTATTCGATGGAGGAAGACAACTCTCTATGGAGGTAACCATGAGCATCTTTAGAGAACAGGCTTGTATTATTCCAGTTCAAAACATCACTGAATACTGAGGGACAAGGGTATGAGGAGAGGCTTACAGTCCCTTTACCCTTCCAGTTACTGTGTCACTGCATGCGAACTAAAAACCAGAACGCGCACAGCAGCTGCATCCCCCTATGCCTGTAACATTGCATTTCAAGCCAGCACCTTTCACAGAACAGTGAAGGTTTCTAAAGTTTCTAAAACTTTAATTGGTATCACAATGAAAATTCTTATCTCAGAAACAACTAGAATGTATTCATGTTATTGTCCAGAATACATAAATTTTAATACTCTAAGAATATTTTGATTTTCAGTTTGGGATCTTCAAATTGTTGAGAACAAAAGACTCTGTGGGTGTTATAAAAGATATAAGCAAAATGCAAACAGATAACATTTAAAAGAGGTTATATATCACTGTTCACTACTACCTTGTGCATTTTGTGAGTCAGACATATTTCCGTAATGCACCTCCATCCATTGCTGAGACCTTTAATTAGTACTTACAGTGCTATGTAAATTTGTTCTTAATTCATATTATATAACAGTATTTTTGAGAAACTGATAGACTGCAGTAGGAGTTTGATCATTGCACTTGTTATTTTGTAATTCATAAATAGTTTTATCAAGATACTCTCATCAAGATAAGAAAATGTACATGGAATAGACAAATTATATGATTCTGCTACTGGCTAGGACATGCTGCGACAGAGTAGGTAATTCAGTGATCTGATACTGCTGTGCAACTGATTTCAGTGTGCAGATTCCTGTGTCTTTGTGTTCAAACACATTTAGCACATCAAGTGTGCTGATGTTCTAGACTACTGCAGTACTGCCGCTAATGGATATGATCTATAATAACATCTTTGCATTCCATTTGTATTCAAGCAGTGCTTGAATTTACTGTGTCAAAGAGCATGGTACATTTATATTGGTAAAAGTAAACTTGCACAGATTTATGGAAACTGAGTAGTATATAGGAAAAGACAGTTTGGTCATGGCATTTAGTTTTTCTTTAGTTGAAGAATGGAAAGAGTTACCAGGAAGGAGGATATAGTTTGTGAGGCAACAGAGAAAGTTCTTTCAAAATGCCTAGAGAAATTCATAGATCACTGGCTTTCAGAAAGCCATTCTTCTCTGAAGGGAAACTATACCACTTCAGATGTCAAGCTGTGTTTTGCAGCATGCTGAAATGTAATTGTGCACATTATAAATGACAGAGTTCTTGTCTTTCCTGTAAACTCTTCACAGAAAAATAAATGAACAGTTGAGGGAATTAAATTCTCAGAAATAACTTAAATGTGAGTTTTCTTAATGGCTGAATTGGCACAAACTGAACATCTGTGGTACAATAATTTTGTTAGTAATTATAATTTCACCTTTATCAAGAAGCTGAAAAGTATCTGTTTTGCCTCCTAGAGCTGCTAATCAATTTGTTGTATGTCTATGCTTTGCACAAGAAAATACAGATAATTATTTAATCATAGAATATGATTTTTTAGCTTATTTTTTGAATCTACCTTGTTTTCCAGCTGGTGGGGAACACAAGCTTGATTCAAATTCAGGCAGAATTTTAGGCAGACTTACAGGTAAGTCCAAGTCATTGTAGAACTCTTAAGAATGCAAACTGGATTCTGTATTTGCTTCTAATCAAGTAACAGATGTGATGGAACTTTCTCAGAGGATGAACTGGGGGTGTTTTGTGGAAACGTCTTTTACGACACTTCATCTGCCATTACCAGCCCACTGAAGAGGATGTGTCACTGCCAGTGGGACAGCAGTAGCTGTTATGAGTTACCTGTGGGTCTGGTGAATGAAATGAAGCACTTTGAGACTAAGGGCAAACTAATGGGAACAAAAATAGCCTATGTAAAGACTTAATAATGGATGCTGAAAAAAATAGTTTAGAATTTCTATTTCAAAGATGAATTTAATTCCTCTTTCAGATCTCTGTTCTTAGCTTTTGTGGCTTATGTGCTGATCTTTAAAAACAGTTTCTGGAAGGACACTTAAAATAATCCCCACTGTAATTTTGAATGAGTAGATAGATTTTTACTCTTCCCATATAGTAAAGGAAACCTTACAGCAAGCCTTTCATTTCCACAGGGAAAGGCGGTGGTGGCCTTAACCTTGGGAACTTCTTTGCAAGTCACAAAGGCTACAGCCGAAAAGGGTTTGATCGACTGAGCACTGAAGGAAGTGATCAAGAAAAAGATGAAGATGATGGCACAGATTCAGAGGAAGAGTGTTCAGCACCTCCACCCCCACCAGCACTTTCATCATCCTGAAACCAGCTTTTGAGTTCTCCATTATTCAATGCAACCCAGGATATCAGATTCCTTTTCCCTGAAGCACGTTTAAGATTTTGTGTATTTAATTGTAAACTGTACTAGTCTGTGTGGGGCTGTACACTGGTTCCTTCAATTTTGTTTGGTTTTAGTTCTGTTTTTTAAGTGCAAGAGTGTATGGAAGTTCCATATCAGTGCTGTTGTTTTTTATGTGAACATCTTAATAAAGCAGACCGTCTTGTAGTTGCAGCACTGATTTAAAGCAGTAGTATTTTCACATCTTAATATGGGGATCTTGTAAATAAGTCTTACTAGCTGCTTCATCAGGATATTTTTCCATAACTATTCAGTTGCCAATTTCTGTTTTGTGCCTTTCCTCTTCAATGTCCTTAACCTGTTGCAGTACAGAGAAATTACAGTGCCACAAGAAAATGAAGCTGCTAAATCTTCTTCTATTTTTTTAAAATCACTAACATTATATTGCATTGAAGGAAAGAAAAAAGTCTCTATTTAATTTTTTTTTCTTCTTCCTAACTTGATGTGTTTCTGGGATGTCTTATTTTTAGATGGTATCACTGTTAGAACACTATTTTCAGAAGTTGAATGTAATTTGTGTAATAAAGTATTCGCAGAGCATTAGCTGTTGCAGTGTACTTGGAATTTTTCCATACTTTTAATTTTTTGTATACAGCTTTTGTATAAATTACACAGACCACTTAATACAGTAAAATTTTTAATGTCTACTGCCAGCAGAGAAAAAACGCTATTTTGTATGGAAGCTGGAAAAATATTTTGCTATGTCACCAGGTTTGGGCTTTCTTTTAAAATACTAATAATATACATACATGTACAAAGACAAGCTTATAAATTTTAAGAAGAAATTTACTTGTATAATAAAACTTCAGGGTGTTTAATAAAACATGGTCACAGCTAAGAGGAAACCTGTGTCTCAGATTAAATATATAAATTAGTCAGGGTAGGCATCTAATACTACCTGATTTTTAGCACTGATTTTCTTGTTTCTCCATGCTTCCTTTTTCATTCATACAGCAGGAGTTCTCAGTCCTCTAATGTGCTTGCTCACTGAACAGATTTGCAGAAGACCTGCTGGTAATTACCCTGGCTGGATGACTCATCTCAAGTGCGTGAATCATTGTGTGATGTCGTCATGTTTTATCAGTCTAGATTGAAGATCGGAGCGTGATTAATCTCCTTTTAAAACCTGTATTATAAGCAGAGTGTACACAGCTGTAATTGCCACGGGATTTTATGAAACAGCTTTCATTATTGTCATTGCAGGTACTGTAACAGGCTATTGCTAGTGTTAAGCTCGAAAAATAGTCCTTAGGTTTCTTGTGGCAGCAGGTTTTGCAAGGTGGGTTTTGAGGGAGTTAGGGTGCTGATAGTGGAGCAGAAAATAAGCAAGATTTTATAAACCTCTTTTTTTATAAACTCTCTGTAACAAAAACCTTGAAATCCTTGACAATTTGTTGTTGTTGTTTTCTCAACTATAGCAAAATCTCCAGGATAGCTTTCTAAAGTGTTGGAGTACAGGCTCCATTTCCTGGAGTATGTATTCAGTGCATACTCCAAGATCCTTCCTCTCCTGTTAATTTCTATCTTCCCCAGTGTTACAAGGAAAATGACCTGTTTCTATCTTGCTTTTGAAAGCAAGGCAGTGTTATTTTTAGCTGTGGCCTGGATTCCTTGTACATAAATAAAAACAAGAGAGTTGGGAAGGATATTCTAAAGCTGTCTGCAAAGATGACAAGTCAATAGTTTACAGGAAGTTTTCAATGTAAGCAACTAAGAAAGCTGTAGTAGCACTGTTATCATAGGTGGTGTGTGTGGCATCAGTTCTAAAAGATCACAGGCTTTTCTCAAAAGTAGTAAGTAAGGGTATATTTTTCTAACACTTTGATAGCTCACATTACATCCATCTGATGTTGGGTGCTCTCTGCTTCCATGGTATTGGGTTGATAAAGAAAATATGCAGCTACCTCCTTCCTTCTTTTCTTTGTTTGATCCTTATCTCAAAATTTAAAAATGCTTTGTCAAGGGAGAAGTAGCAAAACACAGTTTAATTGCAAGGACAAGCTAAACCAGCTTAATTTAGCATTAGTCATAATCTCTGCTCTCTGGAATTCAAAGATTGGTCTCTACAATAATCCTGGGCTGCATAAAGAGAAGCAGGTCAAGGGAGGTGATTCTTCCCCTCTGCTGGCGTGAGACCCCACCTGCAGTATTGCATTCAGCTCTGAGGTCTCCAGCACGAGAAAGCCATGGACCTGCTGGAGCGGGTCCAGAGGAGGGCCACAAAGATGATCAGAGGTATTGAACACGTCTTCTGTGGAGAGAGGCTGAGAAACCTGAGGTGGTTCAGTCTGGAGAAGGCTTCCTGAGACCTTTTTTCAGGATTTCAGAACTTAAAGCAGGCTTGTAAGAGACTTTTTACCACAGCCTGTAGGGTCAGGACAAGGGGCAATGGTTTTAAACTAAAAGATTAGATTTAGACATTAGGAAGAAGTTCTCCTCTGTGAGAGTGGTGAGACTCTGCAACAGGTTGCCCAGAGAAGTTGTGGATGTCCCCTTCCCGGAAGTGTTTAGGGCCAGGTTGGATGAGGCTTTGAGCAATCTGGTCTAGTGGATGGTGTCCATCCTCATGGCAGGGTACTCGTAACTAGAGATCCAGGTCTCTTCCAACCCAAACCCTTCCATGATTCTTTGATAACTGAGTTGACAGGCCACTAACTACTTTCCAGCAGCAAGCAAACTTTGGCACCTCAAGTTGCATCCTCTAATTTCATACAATGGCAGAAAATCTGAACCAGCTTGAAGGCTCTGAATGTTCTTTATCTCTTATTAAAGCTGCATCTTATGAAAACAATGTACCAGAGACTTCATACTACAACAGAAAATTCATGTAAAAAGACACAAGCCTTCTGTAACCATAGTTCTTGTTTTAATAAGCAGCATACTATCTTCCATCTATCAGGTTATGTGTGCACGTTTAATTTAGTTTCAGCAATTATCCCATTTAAGACTCTGTTTTTTAATGAACATAGAATTGCACCGTTTAAGATTTCAAAGACATAACAATAGCTTTCACAAACTGACAATCTTTTCTTAAGCCTTTTTAAGATGGAAGAATCTTGGCTGTTGTAGGGACTGGGTATTTCCTATAGGCTGATGAAGCATCTAAGCACCTTTCCCTGGGGTAGTACTCTAGCAAGTCTCTCCCTGTTTCGAATGGCCTGACATACTGGAAGTCCTTCAGAGTGATGGAAAGGTGGCTGCTGGCTGCTGGCAAGCAGTGAACCAGCTGTGAGGGCAGACTGAGGCAACTGCAGGCTGCCGTGGGGGGGATGCACTGAACTGTAACATGCAGGTTGTCACCCACGTCACCTGAAGGTGTCTCAATTAAATGAAATTATGATCCCAGTTAAGCAGCTGTCCTTGCCACAAGTATCATTAGGTGTAAGCTGATTCCTTGGGAAGCATCTTGACTAAATAGAGTTTTCTAATTAAGGAGTGCACTGTAGTAGTCGATGAGGATTTATAGATCAATGCAGTAAATTTCAACAGCTTCTTGCTTGCCAAAGCTAGATTTATTTATGTTTAATCAGAACTTTTAGGTCAGCAATGTCTGGCATGCTACAGAGGATTAGGATTAATTGTGGGTCATGGTACAGAGAAGGGACTTTGCCGATTTCTATCCTGCCATTCAAATACACATGGGGACTTGTTTGAAAAACTATGTATATGTTAGCAATAATAGTTGCAGGGAGCAAACCATTGCTGAGCAATTCAAATGCAACTTGATTATTTAATTACACATTAGGACATACTTCTAAATTTGGAAGACTGTGTTATGATATAGTTTGTGCGGAGTCATGTCAGGTACTAGTAACTAAATAAATAGAAACCGAACCAAATATCCAGGTCAGTTAAAATTGAGAGGTGAAATTAGGCCACCGTATTTACTGTGTAAAATAGATGCTAGTAAACTCTCGATTTTTATCACTCTGATTTGACTTCACCTGGGATTTTTTAGTACTTAAATGTACAAATGCTTTTCCTCTGTTGTGAATTACCAAAATTTTGCCATGTTTCTTTGAGTTGGGTCTCAGGTTACACACAATGTGCCATGCATAAGGAACTGGAGGGATAGCCTTTTCCCCGGCACTGGTACATGCTTACAGCAACCAAAGTTTAATGAGTACTGAAAAGTGCCAGTTCTTAGGAAGCTGCAAAGCTGTGTTGAATGTTTGCCACAGTTGGCAGTTGTGCACAAGCAGATTATTTTTGTACTGTAACTAGCTCATGTGAAAAGTCAGACACACAGCCTTCACACAATGCAGGTCACATTGCTCCCAGAAATATATTTATACTTCCGTAATTATCATCTGGTTACAGCAAAAGCTGATAATTTTGCTGAGAGTGTAGTGTTTGAGAAGAAAGGCAGAGAAACAGACGGCTGGCCAGCAGTTTCTACAAGCATCGCACACCCACCGCGCCATGGTGCTGGAGAATGCGCCTGCGAGGACAGGCTGCCACCGTGCGACCGTGTCAGCAGAGAGCCAGAGGAAGTCAGGCCCCAGGTGCATGCTCCAAAATAAATCCTTAAAGTCTATAGAATCAAGCATATGGAAGTCAAAAATCTAAAAAATTAAGTTTGCCAGTATCGTACCATAACTATGCACTAGATCCTGTCCTGTGCCTATTTATGCTGCTCTCCTTTTCCTAGGTTCTTAATCTGTGGAGGCGATGGGTGATGTCTTTGACTAGGTAAACAATCAAAATAAATCCGGCGGGGAACCCCATGTGTTATTTACTGCACAGTTATCACTGAAATTCTGCACAAAACGTGGTATCCATTTTCTCATGGGCTTTTCTATTGGGGATTTCCTCACTATGCCTTCTAGCTTTGTGAAGAGCAATGAATATTTTTTTTTCAGTATGTCTGGCAAAGGACATGGTGCCATTCACTTTGTACACAGGGGAAGTGAGACATATAGAGATTAAAGGTATAAATTGTCAAAAACAACTGGTTTTAAGTACTGAATTTGTGAAGTATGATTCGTTTCCTTTTAACTTGCTTACTTAGATACCATTTTATAGTTCAAGGCACTGTTGCTTGCCAACAGCTGCAGCTCTGAATACACTTAACTCTGCTGAAGAAGGCTCAGACATCCTTGTCAAGCACCCGGAAAAAGACCCTGCAAGTAACAACTGGTAAATTATGGAAGATTGTATCCCAATGATCTGTGGACCATTGCACTGGTATCTGTAGCAAGGCAGCACTGCCTGGCAGAGTGGGAATGCTGTTTTCCTACTACCTGTCTCCTTTATTGGCATAGCAAATTCTGCTGCCAGTGCAGCAAGGTTACTGCAGATCCCTTCATCACTGTAAGATTTTGCATAGCACCAGGGTAAGATGGACTGCACCCCACTGCAGTCAGGAGCCCTGTAGGAAGATAAACACTTGAATCTATCCTGAGAGCCTGCAATAACGCTTGCTACAATTGGGTAAATAAGTATGCAGCTCAGGCAACCTGAGTTCACTTGTGTTTGCAGATGTGGTCTTTGTGCATCAGTAGAGAGATGGAAAGGAGAACTGACTGGGAAATGCATCT